TCGAGGTTGTACGTTATCTGAGCTATATACTGGGTTTAACTGAGAAGCAGCCTTCATTGCCCTCTTTTCAGACAATATCTCTTCAGCGTAGACTTCAGTATGAAGTAAGCTTTGAGAATCCCCAACCAGTTAACTTGCCGTCTCTCCTGGCGACTTCGCACAAAATTAGTAGTGGCTAGCCTCCGTAAAGCACCACCCTTCTTGTGGTGTCCGGAACGCTCCTGTCGGCCCTTGAAAATCCGAGCCAGGCAGTATAATTTTCGTGGCAGGCCGTACCCATATCCGCAGCAGGTCTCCAAGGTGAACAGCCTCTGGCAATTGAACAATGTAGGTAAGGGAAGTCGGCAAATTGGATCCGTAACTTCGGGAGAAGGATTGGCTCTGGGGGCCGAGTCAGACAGGCCGAGATCAGATACGTGTCGGTCCAGTTGGAGGCTGGTTTCTTTGCTGCTTTGTGTGCTTCGGTACTCATTGTTGTGGAGTTACTGGACTCTGACCGCGATCGATCGTAAGCGGTTTCAGCTGTTAGTGTTGTATGGCTAGCAACGCGCGTGGACTTGCTCTGCGTTGCGTCAAGCGGCTGTGCTTCCATTGTTTGGCGCGCGACGGCTAACTCAGAACTGGCACGGACCAGGGGAATCCGACTGTCTAATTAAAACAAAGCATTGCGATTTCCGCTGACCGGTTATGATGCAATGTGATTTCTGCCCAGTGCTCTGAATGTCAAAGTGAAGAAATTCAACCAAGCGCGAGTAAATGGCGGGAGTAACTATGACTCTCTTGTACCAATGATTTTGTCAACCCTACAGTATACATATAATGCATGTGACTTCCTTTTCATGAAATGAAAAATCTGTTAGTTACAGATTCATCACAGTGTCTGACTTTTAGGAATTCTATGGTATTTTTTTCACTTTCCTTGTGAGTCTGAGATTTGTACATCTTCTCAGTCGGACTGGATTTTATTGTTGTCTGATATGCAAAAGAATGGATAAATGACTTGTCTTCCGACAGCTACATTATGTTTCTGTAAATGCAAAGACAAAAGGACCACTATATGTTTTTCGCACTTGTCGCAACTTATCTTTTTTAGATGAGATTAGTTCTGTCTTCCTTTTTCTGTATCGCCTTCCAGCTGAAGTAGTATTTAGACTGGACTGATCTCAAAGGTTTGTAGGTGAAATTGATTCCAAAAGGTTTTTTACAGTCTCAAAGTACGATATCAGACACTTTAGAATGGTCTCTTTGTGCTTTTATAGAATGCTTTTGTGCTGATAGGGTATAACTGAGAACAGACATCGTTTTTGGGATGTTTCCAGATACACTTATAAACAGATTTATGGAAAATGAGAGTATTATTATTACATAGGGTGTTTCACAGATTGGGTGAATTGTCTGTAAATTTATCGGACTTTACAATATAATAAACCAGGTTGATTTCAACTCCAAAATGGGAAAAAACAAAATTAAAAAAAACACTGAGTAAACCATTTTTGGTATTTTGTTTCTAGGTAAACATTTTAGTTTAAACACTGGATGCACTGAGTGCTTATCAAAAAGGCAAATAAAAATGCAACAATCTGATTTTTAAAGTTCTCAAAAAAAAACCCAGAAAACATCAAAACAAACAGAAGCAAAACTGTTTGCGTGAAAGAAGTGGATATGCAAAGATTTCAAATTTACACTTACAAAAGCAGCAAAGCAGTTAGCGGTGATGAACAGTGGTGTAAAAAAAACGGTTAGTATAACTTAGGAGTGAGGCGTCGGGTGTTAAAAGTAGTTAGGTACTGATGGACAGAAATGATGGGTTGAATGAAGAAAGCGAGACAATGCAGGAGACTTGGACATTTCAGCCTATATATATATATATATATATATATATATATATATATATATATATTATGACTACTACTAATGTGAATGTCTCTCTGACACATGGGATGTTAGACGATTATGCTAAACTGGAAGTCTTGAATCGTCCAAGACCTCTTATCAGCGAAGGGGACATGGACGGGTGTACAGTATGAGGAGAAAAAAAAAGCTTAATCCGGCCCAGGGTTCTTAAATGCTAACCTTACACATATAAAGCCGAAATGGTAATCATTACATCACAACAATCTAAGGATGCCTTTTTTCATTACTTCGTGTTCCGAGTGTATAACATAGTGCTTCAAGTTTTTTGAAGTTTCATTAGCAATGGAATTACCAGCTCCCCATTCAACCTTCTTGTTTTTGTAGGCTTACTAACGGCTAACAAACCAGGAGAGACTAAGGAGTGTATTGAAGGTCAACAGTCGAATGCCAATCGAGTGCGTGGATGGGGGCAGGTGGTGGCTGGATATGCATAACATAACAAAACATAACCTAAATGGACGCAGCCTAATTTCCCTCTTCTTACCACTAACACCCTGAGCTTAATCTTATTGAGACGCATCATTTTCTACAACCCAATATGAGAAACAGAAAGCAGATACTTATGGCTAAAGAAGTATAACCTCTATATATCTGCCACTTTCAATGGACATATGTCCAGTTTATATAGTTAAATGAAACTACGTAAAACTTCCATCTGCAACACAATAATGTCGAGCTAATCAACATGGCTATACTGTTCGCATACTCGAGACACACCACCAAAAGCATTTCTGACAGACCTTCATCAAGCGATATCCCACTCCACTTTTCATTGCCTCAAAAGTGAAGGCCGCACGTTAGACCATGGAGGATAAAATACGAGTTACTCTGGCAACAAAAAAGTTCCGAGCCTTTGCAGAAGGAAAAGGAGCCAAATGGATCTAATAAAGTCCCCGAATTGGAGACATTCATGTGACATTACACACCATCTTCGGTGTTGACTGGAACCTGGACGAGAAAAGACAGTTTCATTGTGTGTCTGAAAGTTGTATAGGTGATATTACATGGAGAGGAGGAAATGAAAGCTTGTGGTGGACGGAAGGCAGGCCATGCAGTCAGTTGAAAGTGATGTTAGAGAACCAAGTGGAGTGTAGATGTATTGCTTAATGCCTAATTTTCCTCTCAGAAATCACGAAATGACGAATGGCATAACAATACAATGTACTGTAGAAATTCTTTACTACACTTTAATGAACCATGAAGGATGAAGGTTCAATATACCAATAACTCAATTACTCACATAAGAAACTGTAGGTAGACATTATTTTGAAGAGTCCGAATACACTGTAGCACTCATGTCCTTTGAAGAGAATGGAAGGCTAATACCTACTAAATGTCTTCAAAAAGAATGCATATGCACACGATTTCATCAAAAAGTATTTAAACTCAAGTCATAATGCCAACAAGAAAACATCATCAAAGAACACAAGAAAATTCACTCGACCATATATATAAAAATATCTCAGGAATAACGGCTAGAATACTACGACCGTTTGAAATATACATAGCACACCAGCCAACCAAAACAATCACTTCATTCAGTATTGTGCCGACGAAGAGATCCGACAGAAAAAGAAGATAAGATTAGCAATGTTTAAAAAAAATAAATTGCATGAACTCCGATAAACATTACATCGATCACAGTGGACGTCCCCTTTGTGTCCGAATCCAAGAACACAAGTTAGCTGTGGAAAGGAACGACATGTATTCTTTCATATCAACTTAATTGGGGTGATATAGAAATCATAAATAGGGGAAACACTAAAAGTGTAGTCAGGGAATTTCTAGAAGCCTGGTAGTCAAATGAATCAGCCAGCGATTAAAAAACAAAATAATTAATATAGACCAAATTTACTAACTCGGCCCCACACAAAATACTTGGAGGATCTGAACTTCGCCGATGATATATGTTTGATTTCCCTCAAACTAGAAGATATGCAAGTGAAAAGCAACAAGTCGGCAGAAGAAGTGTCAAAGATAGGAGGGACTTCAGGTGAACATACAGAAAATAAATGATGAAGATTCCTGGCCAACACCAACAGCAACAGACAATCATCATAAACGTGAGGAATCTGAAAGAAGCGACCTCCTTTACCTAACTACCCGGGAAGCATCGTTTCAACTGGAGGCGAAACTGATGAAGATATCAAAACAAGGCAAACTTTCATTTCTCTCAAGTCTATGTGGAGATAAACAGCACAACTCAGCATGAAAAATAAGATCCGGATTTTCAGCTCCAATGTGAAATCAGTGCTACTATACCAATCACAGAACTGTCGCGTCATGGAGAGCACCTCAGACAAACTACCGACCTTCATCAACAGCTGTCTTCACTCAATACCACTCAAGATCAGATGGCCGGCTAGAAAAAATCAGCAACAGGAAGGGATCTCTGTCAATGAATGAACCAACTCAGCAGGAATCAGTTGTGCAACAAATATGCGAGAAGAAATGGAGGTGGATTGTCCATGGTCTGAGAAAACCATCAAGTGACATCAAACGACATACCATTGCTGGAGTGGAACCGATACGGGAAGCGGCGATTCGGTCGTCAGTGCGATGGCGATATGGAGGAGGTCATGTGAAGAGGAAATCAAAACACATGGAACCAGGTGAAAACGTTGGCAGAGAACCGAACGCAATAAGGACGTGGAGTTGAAGCCCTATGTTCCTCTAGGAACTAAAAGAAACAATAATAATAATAACAAATTTACCAACTAATAAAGAAAAAATCACATGATAAGAAAGTTCAAATTCCAAGTCAGTAAAAATGATTGAGAGTGGTAGATGTAAATTAACAACCAATCACGACAACAAAGGTTGCCAGGAGATAAGATTATATCATAGTTCATGGGCAGTTCATCGAATTAGTTCATTTCATAATAAAATCTGTATTGAAGATGTTGTCTTGCAGATGAACAACGAAATCTCTACAATTAAAATTTCAACTAGCTTCTCAGAGAACACCACAACTAAATCAAAAGAGGGAACATAGTTTGGTTGTGTGAGGTTAGCAACCCTACATAACTCTACCACTCCAGCTGGAAATTCAAAGCTCAAGCCTGAAGCTAAGGGATAAGTAAATATTATAGCAGTACTATGGAACAGTACTTTTTACTTACTTTCAAGTTATAAAATTTCTTCCCAATGCATTTGTTCAATGATGAAGACGGTAGTACTTTTTGATTGTCATATATAATTGATTTATTGCCAGTTGACATAAACCGATTTGAATGACTATTGATCATATTCAATAGTTGTTCAGTTTGTTCTAATGTATCTATATTCTGTTGAATGTTGAATGCTTTATCTATTGATTTATGCATGGAATTATCTTTGTCAATTGAATTCGTATTCATTGAATTAATTTGTTTGAGCATTTTGATAATTGAATGCAGTTTATGCATAATCGATTTTTGATCTTCAACAGCCTGCAAAAAAAAAATAGAAATATGTAGAAGAGAGAAAATGCATTCATTATATAAAGGCACTAGTAATTGATTTGAATCCAAGATTTTTGAGATTTTGTAGGCGGTAATGGGGTGGGCGAGAAATTCGATTCATTTCATTGTAGATTTCATTTTCACGAATCAACGAAATCAATTATAACAAATCACTGAAAACTAAGGATTACATACATTAGCTGTTTCGTCCCAGTTTCGAGTTATGCACTCAGCCTACCAATCAGCTGAGTTTTAAGTCAATGTGTTTAGAATTCAATAATCTGTGAATTCCTGATACTGCCAATCCACTATATAACGCGTTTGTGCCAACCAGGTTGCAGACCTTTATCAACAACTATCTGCTCTCTATACTGAAGATCAGATGGCCGGGCCGGAAAGAATCACCAACTGTTGGAAACTATGGGAACATACAAAACAAGAACCAATCACCAACCAACAAATATGCAGGAGAAAGTGGAGATGGATTGGAAACTTGCTGAGGAGACCCCTTAGTGTCATCGCGCGTCAGGCCATTGCTCGAATGGAACCCGAAAGGGAAGTGGCGAGGAGGTCGTCGGTACAAGGGGTGACATGGAGGAGATCGTGTGAAGAGGAGTTGGTTGAAAGAGTATGGACTAACATGGATGATGCAGGTGAAAAGTACAGCAGAAGGAAGACAGAAGCAAGTGGAAGGAGACGCCCAGTTGAAGCCCTATGTTCCACCAGGAACCCAAGGGAACAATAATAATAACGTTGTCGATGGCCATCCACTTCATGTCTGACATGATGGACCTCATCAGAATCGGATTCTCGATAGCCCTCCATAAGTTCACTAGCCTCTAATATAATGAAGACTGACATTCAGATTTTAACTTTTAGAGTCAATTTCCCCTGTTGACGAAGTCAAAACTAGAATGAAACAATATGTTTAGATGGTGCTTCGTGAGGTTATCAACATTGGGAATTTAATTCCATTAGTCCGATCAGTAGACAAGCAGTAAAGTTTCTCTAGCGATTGTATCTATTTTCCGGAATAGTTAGGCTTACCCCACACCCAGTCTTCCATCTTTTTGGGGTTATCTTTAGACCAGCTAGGAAAAAATTGACCAGTGAACTAGGCAGCGTCTTTCCAACTATGGACTACATACACGAGGATAACAAAGTTAGCCAAGATCAAAAATGCAAGACAGACCTTGATTAATCTGAAGTCAGTGTGGAAATGTGCACCACTCAGCTTAAGAGGAACAGGAGAGGGATTCTCCATACTAGCGTCAAGACAGTTAGTGCTTCTATGTGGCTCAACGACCTTGCCAAGTCACGTAAACTATTTCCAATAGGTTAGTGCAAACTTTTATCATCAGTAGCCTTTACCCCATAATAAAAAATCAGGTAGTCAGAAAGGATTAGCTATAATGGAACTTTGACCCGAACCTATTTCCCAGAAAATATTCAAAAGACCATGGGAATGGATGGATTGGAACCACACGGAAGAGACCACTGAGTGACATAACGTCTCGGGTCAACCATCAACCGCAAATCGAATAGAAGACGATGAGTTAGGTGTGGACTCAAAGGTGTAATCAGGAGATGAAAGTTTATGGGCAATCATGGAGCAAGTTAAAAAGGATTTCAGGAAACCAGATGAAATGGAGATGTGCTGTTGAGGCCATATGCCGCACTAATAGCCTAAATTTGATGGTTAGTTGATGGTAAACAGAGGTGGAATCTAGGATTCGTGTTTTGTTCCTAGTCAGCTGAATGTACCTTTATCCTAAATTACGTCACTGATGGACGGAATTCCTACCCATTATTTTTCAAATCTAAAAGCACTGTCTTCCGCTACGCTTTTTGAGCTAAAAGAAAATGTGTCATTAGGTCAACATGTATTGTGTTCTGTAATCGTCGCTAAATTATTATTATGTACTGGTCGAGAATTTAATAGTCCTGACACAAGAAGGCGGAAATCAGAAGACCACTAGGTTTGCGATGATACTTCTATTTTCCAAACACAAGGAGAAGCAATAAGTGGTATCACACCAAAAGTAAGTAAGTCACACAAATTGTGAATGCGAAATATATATGAATGTTCCAGACAAAGTGTGTGAACAAATCATTAGACAGTCTTAACATGAATGGCTAATTATAATGAAGTATCGATCCATATATACATAGCGAAATATAGCAGACATGTCAACAACCACCATATATGGATATATGTCACCAAGCAACGGACTGTCAACAAACACTCATATTATATATAATATAAGGAGAATATACATTGTTAAAGGAGACAAGTTCATACAAGTGAAATGGTCACAGACTAAGCGAGCAAACAGAAAGAGAGACCAACATACACACACACATATATATATATGTGGATACATATCACCTCCCCTTTTGAGAAGATGATGATTAGTAGGATGTTTACCTGGGGGTTTATCTGGAACCTTTGAGCTTGTTGTTGACGTCTGTCGTTTCGTCTGCTGTTGGGTTTGCGGCTTCGGCTTCGTCCGGAATTGTCTGACATTTTATGCTTCTTGACTGCATTGCATAGCGAATTTAGTGGGACATCAGCCAGATGCAAACGATCGAACCAATCAAGTCCCAAAAGATTTAAATCACTCTTGGTGACGTAGCAAATTCCTGTGAATTTGGTATTGCGGAAGGAAACAGAACATTTGAGTTCACCAATTAGTTTGAGCCGCCCACCACAGGCGCTGACAGGAGTCTGGGAAGTATTTGATTGGTGGTCTGCCAATATTATTCCAAAGTTTCTCTGATATAACAGTAATATCAGAGGCGGTATCTAGCTGCAGACGTGCATCATGACCATTCATCTGAAGGTCAATATATTTCCGCATAGCTGGTGTTGTGACTTGACAGGTTGCGCGTAGACTCAATGATCTTTTTGGAGATTTAGGACCAACCGTTTGTCGAGCTTTTGCTGGATTATGACATCTGGGTTTGCGTGGCTGACAAAAACCATTTTTATGACCGATGATTTTGCACTTGCTGCAACGATGATTTTTGTATGGGCAAGACTTTACAAAGTGCCACGCGCCACAATGCCAGCATGGTGATGGTGGGGTCTTCTTTGCAGTATTTTGTGAAGTTGGACGAGTATGTGTAGATTTCCGCGGAACATTAGAAGAAGGTGGGTCAGGAGTGGATGATGAGAGATTTTTGCTCTTTCGTAATGCACGAATATCAGAGCTTCTCGAAGGTGTTGATTCGACCAGGTGTGTGTCTTTCTGCAGATTAATCAGCCGTTGATATTCATCAGCTATGTCATGTAATGTTAACTTAGGATTTTGTTCTAGCTGATTGAGCAGTCGAGTTCGGATATCTGTGAAACGAGGAGATTGAAGACTGCATATGAGAATCAAGGCTTTGAATTGATCATCTGTTAAGGACCTGAGTCGAAATCTCTCACATTCTCGGTTGACTGTGCCAACGTGAGTAAGAAAATCATCATTTTCATTCATTGTCAGCTTGAGGCAACGATAACGTATGCTGAATAATGAGGAGTGGTCTCCAAAATGTTCACGCAGCAGCTTTATTGTATCATCGAAACACTTGTCACGTGGTTTCTGGGGTAAAATTAGGTTGCAGTACCGTTCATATTCTGCCGGACCCAATTTACGTAACAACACTCGCACCTTCCAGGCATCGTCTTGTGAGGCGAGATCAACAGTGAATAAATCCTCATAACGTTGATACCATGTGTCAAAAGTGACATTAGCCTCTGGGTCATAATTGAACTGTGAAATACTGTTCACAATGCCGTCGACAGATGGTAGCATGGTATGATTGGGATTGCTTGAAGGTGAAGCTGGACCAGTCTGTTGGTTGACGAACATTTCCATTAATTTCATTTGTTGTTCAAATAGTAATACCAATTTAGAAGAGTCCATAGTTTTCCCTGTCGCCAATCATATTGTTTGTTTGTTTTCAAATTTGAAGACTTAAATTTTTCTTGATGATCGATTCTATTGCATTCCATTACTAGCAATCAACGTCAATCAAAAAAATAACATCACGAATAACATCAAAGGCATCAAAGAAGCTAAGAACACGATATCAGTTATTCAAAATTGAAGCCCAATTGAATCGGTGAACAGAAAATTCAGAATAATAATTTGGACGAATATTTCCATGTATATACGCATTATTCAGGTGTTTGTTTGCAATGGGATTTCATCGATTTCAGGCTAGCTCACGAACTAACATTAGTTAGAGACGCTGTGAAAACCCCGGAAGTACAGGACATCTGTTTCATCCTAGTTTAAGACCCTTCAGGATTGCCCACCCCTTCCCATCCCTAACATGGATTGATTCCTGGACCTTGAAGTCTTATGGAGAAAACCCTTTGAAAAATTTGGCACTGGAATAAGAATGCAACTGTTGTTGTTGTTGTTGTTAGTCTTTCGTGATCATAAGTTTAATTTTCAATAGCTAGATCCCCAACAGGACATGGGTACGCGTAATGGAAGAAGAGAAGCGACTCGATGGAAAACTACACCATATTTATGCATTTTTAGCCAAATTCAAGATTAGCTAGGTCGGTAGACAATAAACTGACCTGACTGGCGCTGTTGACTTTCTGGGTCTAAACCTCGAGATTATTTCCTGACCACAATGGTGAGGTTATGCGTGAGTAATGATGAAGAGTCCCAAACTAGGACGAAATAACTCTCATGTACTTCCTGGTGTTTTCAATAGTTGTTTAACTGATATTAATCCATGATGAAACTTAAAGTCAGTTAAATCCCTACAGAGTAACACTTGATAATTTTCAAGTGTTAGTGAACCGACTGCACAGAGCTCGATCGGGAAGTCCTGGTTGCCACTGTTGACGACTAAATTGGGTGTGAGGACAAATACTTGCCTATTGTATTCGTTGAGGGTGATACTATATATATTGCAAAATGAAAGAGTTTAGGATTCAACGACTCTCCATTGAATTCCGTCCGCGTAGCTGATTGACCCCGCAACCTACAAGTCCTCAGTTCTTATACCCATTGAGTTGATAATGGGTTAGTACTGCTGAAGAGTGGTTGAGAAGGAAAGGGGGGTATTAAACAGCCCTATCCATGGCTGGGTTTTAATGTTCGGTCCTTAAAAACTTTGACGTCACTTCGTGATCAACGTTTGTGTCATCATTTCACTGTTTCCAGACGAAAATACACGTGAAGAATTATAAAACACGTAGTTCAGCAAAGAGTCTCTTTTCGGTGAATTCATTGACCGTTGGTGATGTTGGTCATTGTATGATTTATTAAAATAAAATCTTATTCAACTTTATTTAATTCCAAAGGACCTTTGACGGACAGCGTATACCGTGAAGTAATTTGGAAAAGTACTTCCACACAACAGCCTACAGTGCCCAATTCTCTGTCACCCTCATTCAACAGCTATATGACAATGCCACATGTCATGTAAACCACTACGAAAAACTCAGTGAGGCCTTGGAAGTGTATAAGTCATTGCTTCTATACCTGACCAGAGCATCATGCGAAGCACTTCCAATAGGCTACTGAGGAATTTTATTAACAGCTACATTCACTACATGCTGGAGATCAAATAGCTGGATTAGCAGAGAGAATTACCAGCTAAAATCATGGGAATAAACCAACCAACAACCTGTCGTTCAACAAACATATGAGAGTTAGTGGAGATGGACCGGGTTACACCTTGAGGAGGCGATTGAATGACATAATGCATCAGGCCATCGCTAGAATAGAATCCCAATGACAAGCAACAAGTTGGTTGTCGGTGTGAGTTGCAGAAGGAGATGAGATATCGTGGACAATCGTGGACGCAGTGTTGAAGAGCACAGCAGAAAATAGAGAACAAAGTGGAGATGTGTTATTGAAGCCCCTATGTTCCACTTGGAATGGTTATAATAAACACTTCAAATATATCTGATGATCGTGTACACTTTTCTATTGGTACAAATGTCTATCGATAAGTAACCTTCAAAGAAACTGTCTTCAATTTATGTAATTGTTGACTGTATATTTTGATGGTTAATAAAATCCGAATCATTTTCCTGTTGAAGAAGCTGTGATGGCTTACATGGAGAAACGTTCAGCAAAATCGTGTTTTGTAATTTTTTTTTTCTTAAAGACGATGCAACTTATAATTTAATCCGACTCGGAGCTTTAATTATTCCAAGAAATTCATAACATCTAAGGTTTGGAAACTTATCAAAAAATATACCCTGTTCAAATTCAATTCTTACATAAAAGTTGTGATTAAATTTCTGCTATTTTTTGTTATACAGAAGTAATAACAACCTACTACCAGAAAAATGGTGAGAGAGAGAGAGAGTGAGAGACAGAAAGACAAGGGGATAGAGATAAAAGTCATCAAAAAATGAAAAATTTATTGAATTAAATAAACTAGAAGTGGGACATTCACTTTTATTGGACAGTGGATAGTAATCGGCTATAGCATACTCTCATTATTAATATATTATTAACAATACGGTTACCATTGTTATTATCATTTATATATATATATATATTATTTGATAAAATTACAAGGTTACAGGAACATTTTACTTTGTTTTATTTTTTTCTTCTTAATTAACAGAGTATTTATAAATCCTATCCGCCTACACTATTTTGTTATATATATATATCGATTTTTAAGCATAGAGATGTCAGTGTGCGAAGTCTGCGTGTATGTACGCTTGTGTCAGTGCGTTGGCGTACATATAAAAGTTTGTCTCTATTTTGCATATTTATGTATGCTTGTATTGATAAATGTACACAGTGTAATGAGTTGAAACATGATACATGTACACACACACACACACAAATAAATAAATGGATATACATCACTCGTTCGTCATACATCACTTAAATACAGATTGAAAAAAAAAATTAAATTAAACTTAAATTCCCATTCTCATTAATTAATTAATTAATTAGTGGGGAAAATAGAGAGGAAAAAAAAAGAAAACGTAGTTAACTTACATATCCCACTTCATTCGTTTGATTTAATTTTTACATTTCCACTTATTCGATTTTTATGTTTAACAATACATCATTCGTGATTTTCCCGTCGATTGATTGGACCGAAGTGCTCGGTCTCAGGTCGACATGTCGGCTTCTTGTGCAGATGCTTCGACGATGATGTCTGGGCATTTAATTAGTATACAATTAGTGGATGGTGGCTAGCAGTGGAATCCAGGATAAAGCGCATTTCGTCCTATTTGGGACTCGTCAGCTGGATGTACCTGCATTTCTCACTGAGTGATGATGTTCCCACCGAGGCTCGAACCCAGTACCCATAGTTTCAAACGCCAAAGCGTTATCCACTAGACCACTTGGGCCACGAGAGCCACCTCTTGTGCAACGGGTCATATTAAATATTGAATTGTATTTTCGATTTTCCCGTCGATTGATTGGACCGACTGGGTTCGAGCCTCGGTGGGAACATCATCACTCACTGAGAAATGCAGGTACATCTAGCTGACGAGTCCCAAATAGGATGAAATGCGCTTTATCCTGGATTCCACTGCTAGCCGCCATCCACTAATTGTATACAAATACATCATTCGGTCTCTGTATTGACATGTTGGTATCACCTAATGCGGAGGATTCGACTATGCTTAAAAAGTTAAACTTACCCTTAATTTCTTTTTAGAAAAAGGCCATGTACACATCTAATAATATGAAATGAAGAATAATTCAACAGTCACTTATTAACTTACTTTATGCATCATTAGTTCAGTGGTACATACACACACACACACAGAGACACACACGTGGTCCAGGGATCGATTCCTATGGACACTGACGAAGACATTTACACATCTAACCTAGTCTACTAACAGCCAGTGGTGAGGCCCAGGTAAAGACAGTAGAAAGGTTCGTCTTGAGATTATCAACACCATTACTATTACTGCTGAAATTTCGTGTATGAACTCCTATATCCCGTTTGGAACATCAAAGAAATGACAAACAAAATCCCAATGATTCACTCACCTGATGATGATGATGATGGTGTTTCTGAGTGAATTGATTTCGTTTTGGATTCATTGAAGTAGGTTGGATCAATTCTGGATCTGTTTGACAAAATGTATGCTTTCGACCATTAGTATTGTTGTATAAGCCAATTTTTAATTTTGACTGTGAAATAAACAATAGGAAAAGGATAAATTATTGATTAGAGTTTTGAATGATTAAAGATGCCTGTTTCAAAATTTTAAAAAGAATGACTGATGATCAAAGAATGTTCTTTTCGGTAACTTTTTCATTAGGGTTTCTTGTTAATAACATCCACGAAGCAATAATACGGAGTCTGAAGAGTGCAGTTAAAAGAGTATTCAGTACACTATAGATACGTTGTCTCTTTTGATGTGGTTTTGTTCTCTGAGCTGGATGGTTAGTTTGCGAAGCTTTCATCACCTTACTGGGTGACATCTTCAGCGCATACTTCAATTTGAAGTCTCTTCACTACCATTCCTATTTTTGACGTTCAAAAAATAAGGACAAACTGCCTCCTCTTGTATGTGTATCAACCACACTTTGACTACAGCTTCGGAGCTAGATGCATTTGGCGTACAATTAGGCAAGTTCATCATCGTATTTCCCAACACCATCCTGCATGGTTAAGCAAGGGATAAACAAGACCTCTTCGTAGGTCTGTTTCACCTCCCACCTTGTGGATAGTGAGCATAAAGTTGATGATAATACAGCATTTAAAGTGGTTTATCTTAATTCCAACTTAATCTTAATCCGTTTTCTACATACAACAGATGAAGCTATCAGAATCAACCCCTTAGGCAGCCAAACATATGCATGAATTCAGTAGAAATTCGTACAACCGCTTTGTTTCCCTTGATCATCGTGAAATGATTGTAAAAAGCTGACTACTTCACCCTACTCTTAAGTCTTATAAAAATTATCATTGTTCAAATTATTTTATTCTTTCTGACTACCTCACCTTTAATTACATGTCAGCACCGTCCACATCGTTTTATTTCTCCTTAATTACCTGTTGCGTAATCAACCTGAACATTCGTTTATTGCCTAATTAGTCTTCATTTTTTTGGAATTATGCATTATGCAATCCACTTGTTGTAAACATTTAATCGCGTAACTCTTTGAACTCGATGGTAAACTAAAAATATTTGCGTCACGAGAAAGATGCTAACCTGCATCCGATGGTTTACTATTCTAGCACATACACCACAATAATGACAAAGAAAATAGCTATTCAAGTTTGTTAGATTGATAGTCATAAATCTGTTTTGCAGCCAAATTGATTTCCTACTGCCATGTTACATACTGAAATGATGTGTAGTTTGTGTGTTTTGTTGAGCAGTTTAATTGTGAAGCTTTCATTCATTTTTCTCCTTACATCAGTGTGTTAAGTCGGAGTGTTTTCTTATTTTGGTATTCTTCCATAATTGGTAGTTTATATCCCTTCCGATGGGCTCGATCTGGATTGACTGCACAGCCTGTATATCGGCGTCATCCACTTCATATCCGCCCAACACAGTAGAGTCCCGAAATTCATGGCTTCTTATTGAAATTAATCAGAATCTCTACAAACACTCCATTACAAATTGTTGATATTAGATGGTTAGAGGCAATCTGCAGGAAGCTCTGCTGACACCCAAGTTTCGTGTTTGCTGACACTCGTCAGCAAAAAATATCTGCAATCTTGAAGGAACTCATCTCCCTATCAAGATTCCAACCCGTGTTATCCAGTTGCAGTGAAATCAGTCAGTTCAGTAAAGTCCTACAATAGGTCACTAGTGATCCCGGATGGCCCAGTGGTAACGTCTCTGACTACAGCACTGGGTCACGTGGATTCAAATCTCAGAAGGGACATGAGTCCTTTCAAGATACAACTTACTGATAAGTACCAACAAGCACGAAACCTTGTTCTAAAGTTTCCTGCTGACTGACTTCATCCATCTCTAACGACAAACTGTCAATTTAAATATCATTCTCTTAGTCACTAGCAATTCTAATGAAAAGTGAGCGCTAATGAAAAGTCCTAAAATGGGGCGAAATGGTCGTTTTTTTTACCAATATTATTATTTTCTTGGGTTCCGATTGAAATACAAGGCTTCAGTAGCAAATGGCTATGTCATCTCACCTTCTCTAAAGTCTTGTTTCTCTGGCTGCGCAACTCTCCATAAGCCTCCGTCCCTCCCCTTTTTTCCTCAATGTTACCCTCAAACCTACGCTAACACCATCGTTTCGCATTCAGCTTCAAGCTGGAGATCTCTATGTCTCATGACGCCACTCAGTAGTCTCTTCAGAATGTCTCCAATCCGTCGTCTTTCATCTCCTTCTGGGAGCTAGATTCTTGTTTTCTATGTCGCCAAAGTTCCTTCGTGCTTACTGCTTACTGGCCATCTGATTTTCAGTATGGAGCAAAGGCAGCAGTTGATGAAAGTTCGTTGCTTGTTGAAAATGCTGGAAATTGTGATGCTCACACCAAGTTTGTAAACAATGGAGATATAAGTGTAAAAAAATTCAAATCCTATTCTTTATGATGAGTGCAACGGATTTTCAAAATGATTTCATATGTTTCCATTGGTCGCCTTCATCACTTATGTCTTTTCTATGCTTATTTGAAGTCCTGTCTTCTTTGCTTCTGCTACCAAATTGTTGATTTTCATTGATGTAAGTGTAGAAACTTGGGCACTGCTGCAGAATGTAATTTCATATTAGATAAGTTTTTTTTTTTTTTATTTCAGCTTGATTCCACTCACTGTATTTTTTTTGGTACAAGTATGGAATTTTCAGCATGTCATATCGGTAGCCTAAATTTTGCAGGCCGACCATAGATATCAGGTGTGCATCGGCATGGGATTGAACCCTGGACCATTTGTACGGTTGGCGACAGTCCTAACCACTGTTCCACCGACGCACAGATATCACACAGGGATAAAAATAATTGGGGTAATAAATAGGGTAATGTTGCTAACAGAATCATATCATATCGTACCAGTTTTTCTTTTCGCCTTTGCACATTCTAAATTGTGTTACATTAGACATAAATCATTTGCAAAGTTTGGATCATCTAGAGTCTTCTTGTTGGCCTAATATGTGTCCGTCTTCTTGCATCTTAAGGCCTGATGAATGAGCAAGTTCACCACAAACAGCAATATCGTCGTAGGTGATAGTAGGCAGTGATGTCTTACTCCGGTATTCACTTCGAAAGCTCCTCAGAATTTTTTTATTATGATTCACCTGACATCCAAAATAGAAGTTCTTTTTCCCCAAGTCTTTGCGTTCTAAATGAAACATTCGTCCCTCGCCGCTACTTACCGAGGTTACTACTAATCGGTTACACGAAGTTTAATGGAATGCGTCCATTTTCGGGAAATCGAACCTGGACCAGTAAGCACTCTAACACTGAACTACAAATGCACTAGTGTTGGAAAGTAAGCTGCTCTTGAATTTTAAAATCCACCGTTCTATTTTTACAGCACATCATGAATTCCCGACATTGAATAACGATTTATTCCACTTCACTGGTTAGTAATTGTCATTTCGAGAATAAAATTACAGACAAGAGTTTCGATAATAAAAAAGTAGCAAGCCAAAAAGCGTCGTGTTTCACATATATACTCTGTCATACATTCCCGAATCACTAAAAATGAGACGGAAAATAGTAAGACGTTACAACAAGAGACTGATAGTTTTGTCTAGTTTCATTTTATTTTTATTCTGTTCCCAATTTTTTTTGAAGTTTATCCGATAACAATGGATGTTGTTCTATGTGTATGTGTGTGTGTGTGTGCGTGCCTGAAATAAACATACATGTAGCAGTGTTCGCATGTGCGAATGTATGTGCATGTTGATTGTATCAATTATTTGCTCAACCTACGCTCTATTCCGTCGACTTTGTCTCCCGTTGGAAAAAACATGTTACAACACAACCCATATATATATATATATATATATATATATATATATATATATATATATATATACGTCATGAGTAATCCAATAAGCAGGTCGAAGATGAGGCAGTAACTCATCGAAGAAGACATTGCGAAGTGGTCGCGCTATGTCGTGAACTGGCAGAAGTTAGAATTCAAGGACCATTGGATCGGGTCCCAGTGGCTCAATGGTCTACGAGCTCGCCTTGTAACCAGAAGGTCCTGGGTTCGAATCCCGGTGGGTGCGTACTGCTGAGGAGTCCCAAACTAGGACGAAACGGCTGTCCAGTACTCCCAGGTTTTCCAGTGGTTCTCTAACTGATGTCAGCTCATGATTAAATCCTCCATGCAATCAAACAAAATCCCTACAAAAACCAATACTTGAAAATTCATCTGATGCTCACTAGTGACTGGCCCTATTCAGGCAGTTAACCTGGGGTTCTAGTGGGAAGCCGTGACCAGTAGGGTACAGCAGGTCGAAGATGAGGCAGTAACTCATCGAAGAAGACATTGCGAAGTGGTCGCGCTATGTCGTGAACTGGCAGAAGTTAGAATTCAAGGACCATTGGATCGGGTCCCAGTGGCTCAATGGTCTACGAGCTCGCCTTGTAACCAGAAGGTCCTGGGTTCGAATCCCGGTGGGTGCGTACTGCTGAGGAGTCCCAAACTAGGACGAAACGGCTGTCCAGTACTCCCAGGTTTTCCAGTGGTTCTCTAACTGATGTCAGCTCATGATTAAATCCTCCATGCAATCAAACAAAATCCCTACAAAAACCAATACTTGATAATCCAATAAGCCCCTGTTTTCTTAGTGTCTCCAGTTAAATCGATACAGTTATTTGAGTGGGTAGATATACAGAGAGTAAGAGGCAAACTTCAGTGATCATTTTAAACGTGCTAAATCAAGGTGGACTAAGCTCCCTGTCTCTCTGCCTCTGTGACTGTCTGTCTGCTGAAATCCATTGTAAGACCGATTAATCAATTTATTTCAACCACTAATTTCATACATTTATTCCCCTTAATGAATGTGAACAAAAACAAGAACAATAATGGTTCCTGCACAATAAGACGGTAACATCATTGTTAATTTCATTGGCCTTTCATCAACTGCGTACAACCCTGAAGAAATCATTACTAAGTCCATGTGTAAGTATGCTAAATACTTACAAATCTTACATGATGTCAGTTGGCAGAAAGTTCCAGATTTAATGAAGAATACTC